TTATTTCTTTTGTCACACGATTGCGAAATTGGCGGTAGTTAGCCCAGTCTTCCGAAGTGTTACTTTTATTTGCTTTTTTATGAAAGTAATCACGCTGACGCATAGTCTCCTTTATGTTCTTGTTTAGCCAAGGACAATTGTCGATGCCGCGTACACGACGTTGCACCAGTGGAGCATGGCAATCAGCAATCGTGACAAATTTCCGCTTGAACTCACGCCAAAGTTCATCAACACTGCGGGCAGGTCCATTGGGACCAGAGACAAAGTTCCAGTTAACACCTTTCAAGTCCTTACGAAAAGCATCTTCATCGAAATGCGCATAATTTCTGAAGGTCTTGATTTGAGACGATGCTCTTTTCCAGTTTAATTTCCGAACGCAATAAACCAACTCATGATCACTTAAATGCGCAGAAATTACTCCAGACTCACACACATTTTGCGGGTAGTTAACAGCAACTAAGTCAATTAGTGACTTCGAATTTTTAGTAATCCTTGTAGGTTGGTCAATAAGTTGCTTGATATTTAGACTTCTAAAGATCGATTTAAGGTGTTTACAATCAGAGTTGTTGCGGTGACTAGACATAAAACAACAATTAAAGTCACCGAAAAGGAGCATCTCTTTACCCTCCACAGAAGCAGTGTCTAATATACCGTTTAGCTTAACCATGAAGTCCTTGTCGTAGTACGGCGAGGTACGATCTGGCCTATAAAAAATTCCAGCAAGAAAACTGCGTGATTTAGGAACTCCAATTTTAAGCCACATTCCCTCTACTGAATCAAGTTCAAGATCATCCCTCCATGTAACTACTAAGTCGTCGCGAACTAACGCTGCAACTCCACCATGATTTCCCTTTCTGTCCTTGCGAAAAAGTCTATAACCTGGTATTTCAAATTCACTGTCACTCCTATCGGACTTGATCCAGGTCTCAGACAAAGTTATTATTTGTATGCCTGAATGCAGCTCTAGTAACAAAAGGCGAAGCTGATCAATTTTATTGCCAAGACTCTGTATATTCTGGTGAATAAACTTGAGTCCACGGAGTTTGACGACGGCATCCAGACCATTAGCAGGCCCTGGGTTAAGACTGACATCTCCAGATAGTACAACCAGATAACCAGCACAAATAGATAGCTTTACGAGTTTAAGTCCTRCTCTAGCTTTCCAACATGGCGGAATTAAAGGATTTGTGCTGTAGTGACGACTGCAACCGTAGTTACGATTAGGCTGCTTAAGCCTGTCACCATTAAAACCAACCAAGACAGTCGCTGCTGGACTGGATACATGATAGACGTGTAACGAAGTGATAATTATACAAAGTAWAGTCAGAAGGGTCAAATATCGAGAGAGCGCAAACGGCCAGCGTCCAGCTACCATGACTGATTATGACTGAATAGCACTCCAATATAAGTGATTCTCACAAGGCTTAATCCAGTCTTTGATTGCTTCACAAGCCTTTTCTTTGGCAAGTTTAGTGAGAACTTTTCTGATTTCTGTAAGGAATCCAATGGAAAATGTGAATAATCATTTCAAATGAAATAACCTAGGCGAACAGAGATACCTACTCTTTTTTAAGTGCCAAAGATCGTAATAGTGCTTAATGTGCTAGAGAACGTTATTCATATGGCTTGCAATGGYAGTGTGTCTGTCTGAGACGAAAGTGCTGATATTGAGTTTTGAGGTATCCAACAAAAACTCCATACATTTCTYGAACCCCATAAATTCCATAGCATTGCTACTATCAGCCTGGTTTCTCTAAAAAACAAACAATAACGGTTATCAATATAGGTGTTTCAAAATCTCATTCTTACTTGCATGGACCTTTTTCATTAGGTAAAACTAATCTTTATTAGTATCTTCATGTACATTAATTCTATTTCTTATGGTCTTYAAAATTGTTACCTGGACAAGTTTGAAATGAATTATTTGCGGTTCCTGTGTGCAAGATAGAGTGGAGTAAGCACCATATTTTGCATTATGGCCCATTGAATCGTGACGACCGTCCCCTGCCACTATCAAGTCTGTTGAATCTTTGCACTTTTCGATCTTGGTGGCCTGGTATTGCTTCCAGTATATATGGATAATAGGGAAAAGGTGGTTCTGAAATGTAAATTAAGCATTCA